AGCAGGAACGATGAGTTTAAGCTCCTAGCAGTGCAGTAGATTCATGCTCCTCAGTCTCATCCTTTATTGGTGTTTAGGAACAATCCATGTACAATTAGGACAGCTTATGATTGTAGAAACCTGCTGCCACTTAAGAAAAGAGGTAAAATTAACATCTATGATATCAGTTATAATACATATCTCCGTTCTAAAATAAGTGCCATGGTTTTAATACAAATGTTTTATCTTGAGACTCGGTCAAACTTAATGAAGTCTTGATCAAACTTAGTGAAGTTTGATTAAGGACAATCCGGGAACTTCAATTACTTTGAGACGGAGGGAGTAAGAAATTTCAACTATTCCTTTTTTATTCCATTTCCTTGTAAGTTTCATTTATGTTTGTTTTCATTTTCATATCTCCTTTTTGTCTCGGGATTTTTCACAGTAATCCAGAGTTTTTTCGCTCCGTTTTTTAACATGTGGATAGGAGAACGGCCAAATCCATTGAATAGATAGGGGTGTTACAAGAACACCTTCAAAGGAAAAATGCATCGCATAAGACGAGTGCCCAAAACGAAGAATTGTAAAATGGCGAGGAAAACCCAAAAAAATACACATCACTTAGCTAGACCAGGCCTAAAGCACCACAATACATACAAAACGCCGGAAGACCAACACCCTACAACACACCCGAACGAAAACTCAAGCGCCTTCGCCGCTACCGAAGTGCACACTGAAAAACATTGTGTTAGTCCGGATTTCCACAAGCATATCCACGAAACCTCAAAGACACCAGAGAAGAACGATACATCTGATAGAGTGATCCTATGCCACTCTAATCCCACGAGGATGATTGACATAACTCGCCTAACGCACCTTAGGGTGCTCCTGGTACTCACCACCGTCGACCAAGCGACCAGACCTGAACTGATGCATCACCAACGACTCCATGCTCCCAAATCGCTGCCCGCTCCTGATCACCCACACCACCGATGATCCCGTGCTCCTAACACAAGTCTTAGACTCATAAGGCCATGCTTCAAACAAAGTAATGATGGCACGGTTTTGGCCTTTCCTATTTATGTTTTTTTTGGCTTGTTGAGCTGTGTCCTCGGCAGAACCTTGTACCTCTTGTGGTGTGTGTGTCCAGGACTAGTCTGTGTATGTGTGCTCTTGGTGGTTTGCTTTATTTATAAAGCGGGGCGAAAGCCTTTTTCGGTAAGTCGACCTCAAACTGACGTGTTGTGCCATCCAACGCGGCCATGTATCGTTCCGCCAACCGGTTTGGACGCACTTTTTTGGCAAACCCGAGACAAACTAGGGGGCTTTGCAAGAGTCCAGACAGCAGACACGTAGGACTCCGACACCCCCAGCCCACTCGAAACCCCTCCCAGTCCTCGTGCCTCCGTCCTCCCATTTTCTCTCCTTCCTTTTTTCTCTCATGCCTTCGTCGACGCTCCACCACCTTGGCCGCCTCGGCACACCCCTATCAGTGTCCAATGAGCCCCTCACATCCAATGGTACACACGGGATCCAAGCCGGTTCTCCTCCGCCACCGTTCCACACCTCTCCTTTGACCACCGTGCAGGTACCGTCAGCTCCTACATTACTCACCATGCCCGACAACTGTTGAGTGAAATGTCCATGCTACATTTTTTGTCCCTTCTTCTTTCAAGCATTGAATTTGGATATGGAGTACATATATGAGCACTATGTTGAGTTGTCAGCCATCTCGCTCGGCGAAGAGGACTACACGGATGAGACAACGATGATGCAGGTGGTCCTTGCAAATGTGGAGTGTGCGGAAGAGCGTGTTCTCAATTTCCACCTCCCACATCTAGAAAGGATGTTCAGAGGGCATTTGCAGTTCTGCAGACATGTTTTGCAGTTGTCAGTGGACCATCTAAACAATGGGTTGTGGAGACCTTGTCGGAGGTGATGACCTGTTGTGTGATCATACACAAAATGATCATGGAGGATGAGGGTGACGATGCTGCCGCAAGTCTTGAATTTGAGAACATTGTGATCCTATCGAACTTCCTGATCAGAATCCGGTCACATTTGAAGAGTTTGTTTAAATGCATCAACAAATTCGACATCGAGCAACTGAAGGAAGATCTGATTGAGCACGTGGACGGTTAAAGGGGACAACAATGTTTGAGTGTAATATTTGAACTTATTTAATTTAAACTACAGTTGCATTTGAACTATTCTAGACTATATATGCAGCTATTTAAGTGTGCGAGCTTTAAAAGAAAAGACTTGGCCGGCTTCCGCATCAGTGCCTGCGGACTAGTTCCTGTCCTCGGACAGATGCCGGAGCAAATTTGCGGGTCAACGTTGGAGATGCCCTAACTTGCTTTTCTCCGAGAGTACACCCCATAATACAAGGTTTGTTCAACACAGGTGTTTCTCTTTCTCTCTGTGGAAAAGAAAGCAGGTGCTTAAAATTCCCCTTACAAAAGAGTACAGGTCTAAAATTGGTATCTCCGTTGCTAAAAGGCCAAAAGAAGAACGTGGACTGGTGCTAGTGTCCCATTTCTTCTCAGATTCGTTCGACCTCACGCGTCCTCCATCCCTTCCCTACCTTACCCTCAACGTCTCGCCGCCGACGCCGCCCAGCTCCTTCGGCCGAGGGATTTCCGCCGCGCCGATCTGACCGCCCCGTCCCCTCCGTCGCGGGCGCCTCTCCATCTCGTGCCGCCCCCGCCGCTCCTCCCTGCCACACGCGAGGAGGGCGGCGCCGCTGCCCCTGCCCCGCCGCTTGTCCCCCATCTTCTCCGCGCGGATCCGCCTCCGAGGTAACTCCTCCCATGGATTATCTGGTCGCAATCCTTCCGTTAAACATAATTAATCGAAAGCTCGAATGATCATGGTCATTTCTGGAGGCAAATTAGCCATGCGCGACCACCTTCCCCTGGAAAAATTCACATCAGTTCCAGAGGCGATTAACGATGGATACGCTCCAGCATTTAACACTGGTTTCTTCAGATCTCTGCCAAAGGGCTAGGCATATGCTTGTAGTGTGTACGACGATGAGCACCTGGTGGTAGTTACAACCTTACATTTTGTAGTATTTCAGATTCTTCGATGCTTCCTAGGCCAATAGCTGTTATGCTTGCTTGAATCTATCGAGATTGTATTGTTGCTGTTGGGTGCTAGTTTGTCTTATCTGCATTAGCCTGGATAACTAATTTACACGGTGCAGGCCCGGATGCTCTGCATTAATTAGCGTTGATAACTAATTCCTAAGCTATATACAGTCCTAAGTAATTATGTCGCCTAGTTAGTGTTGGTGTAGTCTACCTCGCTGCTCTGTTTGTCTTATCTGCGTTGACATCTTTTGGTCTAACATATCTGCAGTATTACTGTGTTGGTATGTAGTGGCGGAGCTACACACACATCACTGGGCGGGCCAAAGAAGGGCTAGATTAAGATATGTGCCTGAAAATTTGCACCCAGGGGCCACAATTAGCTCCACTCTACACTGAACTCTTGTTGGCTGGGCGGGCCATGGCCATGTTTGGCCCTGCTGTAGCTCCGCCACTGTTGGTATGCATGATACCTCGCTGCTCTGTTGCCCTGACATCTCTGCATGTTTGGGTAATCAGAGTGATAAGGAAAATTAATTATCGATGGCAATGTATGCAAGTATATAGGGCATCAGTACATCTAGATTTAGTCTCACACTTCATTTCTGAAACTTTGAACTTCCCCCTTTCACTTACTTCAGTGTTAGACCTGGATTTGTCCATAACCTTCTGTGCAGATCATGGCATATGGTGTTCTCATTAAGTAGCTAGGAAAGTGTATCATACTTGAGTTTTTCTCATGTATAGTTGTCAGTCAGTACCTGCGCTTCTGCATCACCTGTAGTTATAATATGCTTTTCTTTGACACTTGAGCATCTTTTCATTTAATGTATAGTTGTGCATTTATTTTAGTCTAAAAACCTTGGCTCAATTTGCCCTCCAATCTTGGATATATTAGAAATTAACTACATTAGGATATGAAACCGCAGACAAGTTGGTGAGAGTGTTAGTATATGTATATAGTTGAAGGTTCAATAGCTAGCAACCATGATGGTAGCTAGTTATTTCTAGGAGCAGGCTAAATTTGCATCACCTTAATCTCCTTTAATATAAATTGTGTCAAGTAGGCTTCGGGCATGAAGGCGAGTGTGCCTTGTTCAATTTAGTTCTTCCACTTTGCATTGCCCTAAGATAAGATATATTTAGAGCAATTAATCACTTGATGGTTTTTGTGAGATGAGGCTACTTTTATTGCTTGTTGAATAATTTGTAGCTGGTGTGGGTTGTTTTGTTGCATTTATACTTGAGAATGGCTTGATCTTCTGCTATGTGCTCATAATGTTGGTTGTCTTAATATATTGGGACAAAATTGTTTGTTTGTTCTGGTAGATGTTTCAGTCCAAATATGTTTCACTCCAATGGTTTGATCTGCTAATTTGTGCTGTTTCTTTATTCTGGTAGATGCTTCAGTCCATATATGTGTCACGTACGATGTGCTTTTTTTAGGGGAAAACGTACGATGTGCTTGCAATTGAATTTTTGTGTATGTAACAAGGACTGAGGCTTATACCTTAATGGAAACCTTGACAAGTGTTTCGAGTTGTGATCATGCCCCCAATGTGAAGTCATACCTTCATCCACTTGATCAAGAAGGTTCCTGATTATAGCATTTCTCCATATATTTTTTAACAGACTTAGAATATGATTTTGTACTTAACAGGTCAGGGGACAGACTTGAGAGCCTTTTTTCAAATATTGATGATTGATATATTAATAACAACTAAAATGATGAGTACAACAACTGGTCGTGTTACTGTTAATCTTTCGGTTGCACGGCACTTATAAATTTAAATCATTTCCCAAAATGTTATATACTACGAGATATAATATCACTTACTTAATTTTACCTTTTTTCTTACACGCCAACAGGTTTCTACAATCATAAACTGTCCTACTTTTACATGGAATTTTCCTAAACATCAATAAAGGATGAGATTGAGGAGCATAAATGGACTGCGGTGCAAGCAGTTTAAGCTCGTCCTTCTTGCTTTCTTCATAATGTTTATTCTCTGGAAATGGGAGGAAGGAACATACTACAATACTGAAGATATCCACCCAGATTCATTGGTTGTGTCTCATCCAGGTCATTTTAAGCATATAGACATACTTCTCTTTCTTTTTTTGCATTATGCTTATCTTTATTCTCATTTTTCTTTGAATTTCTGTAGCTAACTCAAAGTTTGTAGATCAGCGTACATCTTCAGATGAAGACTTCCCAAGTGTAGATTCATTGCCACAGCCAGTAGTTAAAGTAGGAAAGCAAGTTACCGGTGCACCACCACCAGTGCCACTTGTCGGTGTTCCTGCTATTGTGGGAGGTGAACAGGGGGCATCGCCTTCTAAGTCGAAAGGTAATTACTTATCTTCTATGACCGTAGGAGGAACCATGGATTCTTTCTTGAGAATGCTACTATGCATTTATTCAGCGTCACCTTCTGGTTATGCCTAGAATACTGAATTACCATGCTGTACATAAGTTAGTCAGGGGTTATCTGGGAGTAGGGCGTTTGGTGCCCAGGCTCATCTGCATCCGGTTAGAAAAAAATTCGTAAAAAATACAAAACGAATTCAAAAAATTCCAATTTTTTTTGTGTGGTAGAAAATTTGATGCGTGAGACCTGCTCCAAATTTCAAGTCATTTAGACATCTAAGCAGCTCTCAGCAAAAAAGACAAATCGGGTCAAAACAGTACATGAACAGTAAATATTTTTACAGACCCCCAATTTGTCTTTTTTGCTGAGAGCTTCTCATATATCCAAATGACTTGAATTTTTTTTTTGAAGGCAATGACTTGAAATTTGGAGCGGGTGTCACGCAACAAATTGTCTACCACACAATTTTTTTTTTGGAATTTCTTGAATTTTTCTAGTATTTGTTTTGATTTTTTTCGTCAGCGCGGGTGCAGAGATGGATTTTCGGTTATCTGGTCCTAATATTTCTATCTCGTGTTTGCTTCATCTATCTTCAGAATGTAACCACAGAAATGGAAGATGGGTTCCTGACAAGCGCAGACCACTCTACTCTGGTTTTGGCTGTAAACAGTGGCTTTCTGAGAGCTGGTCCTGCAGATTGACTCAGCGCACTGATTTTGATTACGAACAATTTAGATGGCAACCTGAAGCTTGTGATATGCCAGAGTTTGAGGCCTCTCAGTTCTTGATGAGGTACGTGTCCATAGCATGTCCGATATGAATGTGGGGATGATAATATACTGCACCCTTGGCCTTATTATTATTATCTCTTGACTCATTAAGGGGAAAAAAATACTAATTTGGTTATATTTCAGAATGCAGGGCAAAACCATTGCTTATGTCGGCGATTCTTTAGGGAGGCAGATGTTTCAGTCCATGATGTGTATGGCTACTGCCGGAGAAGAGCGGGCAGACGTGGAAGATGTCGGTGCGGAGTACGGGTTTGTCTTAGCACCAGGCGCAAAAAGACCAGATGGCTGGGCTTACCGGTTCCCGAGCACCAACACGACCATTCTATACCATTGGTCGTCGACGCTATGTGATCTGGAGCCTCTGAATCCATCAGATCCAGCCACTAGCTACGCCATGCACCTCGACCGCCCACCTGCTTTCGTGCGGGACAACCTCCACAGGATCCACGTTCTGGTCCTCAACACCGGCCACCACTGGAACCGGGGCAAGCTAAGGGCAAACAAGTGGGAGATGTACGTCGGCGGATCCCCGAACCGCAACAAGAACATCGCCGCCATCTGGAAGGCCAAGAACTTCACCATCCACAGCGTCGTCAAGTGGCTAGACGCGCAGCTCCCCCGCCACCCCCACCTGAAGGCCTTCTACCGATCCATCTCGCCCCGGCATTTCTTCAACGGGGACTGGGACACCGGCGGCCGCTGCGACAGCACGAGCCCTCTGGCCAAGGGCAGCGGCATCTCCCTGAACCGCTCCGAGGACACCGATGCCGAGGGCGCGGTGATGGGAACCAGGGTCAGGCTGCTGGATGTCACCGCTCTGTCGCGCCTGAGGGACGAAGGGCACATATCACGGTACAGCATCAAGGCCACACAGGGGATCCAGGACTGCCTGCACTGGTGCCTCCCTGGAGTGCCCGACACGTGGAACGAGATCCTCACGGCGCAGTTGTTAT